CTCTCTCTCTCTCTCTCTCTCTCTCTCTCTCTCTCTCTCTCTAGCATGATGTTCTGTGGCGCTTTGCAGCAAGCGCTTCATTTTTGGAATCAGACTCACCTTCATCTGATGAACTACCAGCGTAGTACAACAGAAGAGGGAGCTGTTAGAAGCGTCTGGCGGCGTCTGGCGGCGTCCGGTAGGCCTTGAAACAGTCAAAAAATACCGGGGGCATTTTTTGGGGGCGGCCTAGGACCCGAAAAACGTCCCAGGCCTCCCCCCAAAAAAATTCGGATTTCCAAAATTGGGCCCAATCCAGACCTACCCGACCAGACACCGGACCCATACCCAGACAATCGGACCGTCTGGATTCCGGTCCAGACGTCTGGCCGGTTGCCATGGTTGGGAAGAGAGGAGAGATTATTCGTTGGCCATACATTGACTCTTCTTCTTCGTCCTCCTCTTTCTACTTCTTCCTCCTTTTCCCCCTTCACCTCCGACTGTGTATTTCGGGAGCAGGGTTCCTCATCGTCTTCCTTCTTCTTCCTCCTTTTCGCCCTTCACCCCAGACTGTGTATGTCGGGAACAGGGAGGTCTCTTCTATGTTTGCCCGCCTCTCCCTTGAGTGTGATCTCAGGTCTCTGTCACCTTGTCAGATTGCTGCACGATCATGTCAGTCCATGTCTGATTTGAGTCTTTTGTTGTGCTACATTGCATCTCCCTTCCATATTGATGGTTCTTGGGCTTCCCATTGCTGACAGTTCACCCGGTCATGCATCAGGGGAGCAAGGAGGCCCAGTCGGTCTTGACTTTTATCCCAGAACCAGAAGAGATGGTTAATGGAAGGCCGAAAATTTGGTGTTTTTCATCGCCTAATAGCCACCTATCACACAAAAAACGAAATCGAGAAAAAAAGCGAAAAATCAAGGCAATATGGCAGTTTTGGTGAAAAATTCGGTAAAAATGACACCACCTATTAACTACGTGCGAGAACCACTCTCTTTGGTTCAGGTAAACACACAGTGAACGGTATCTTCACCATTGGTTTACTGGGAGGGCGACATAGTTCGTCATCCAGTGTGGAATTCACAAATGGACCTGTCTAGGAGCCTGGTCATTTTCGTAGGGAAATTCCACAGACTTGTCAGGCTGGAGGTTCAGGATTCTTATCCATCTAGTCTTGATTGTAAAAGGGCCTTTACGATTCAGACCCCCACATGTGACCCCCACATAAAAGGGGCCCTGTCGGCCAGAACTCAATTTCACGAGCAGCTTTCCAAAGGACAAATTCCCTGAAGCAAATGTCGCATCCAAAGTGAAATGAAAAGTCGTTTTGAGAAGTCACAATCAGGTCCTAGATGAACAGGTACTGGGCTCAATTTTAAGGATGAGACAGGGTCATGTCTGTTCGGCAATAAGTCAAAGGTCACAGTCCCAGACGAGTCACAGTCCCGAAAGTCAAATCTGATTCAGACCAGGAGTCCAAAAGACAGGCCCATCGGCCAAAGCAGCAGCAAACTATGGGAAAGGATACTGGGACACACACTTTGCAACAACAGGTACTGGGTTGGAGTCCCAGGCACTTGGAGGCTGGACGCAGACCACGCCAGACTAGTCCAGCACTATAAAGGACTAGCCAGCCTCCCATTTGGCAGATACTCGTTCGCATGAGAGTGTGGAAGTGCTGAGGCACTTGTGCGCCAGATGTGATTGAGCTGCGCCAGGCTTGAGAGCTGCGCTGAGGGAGAGAGAGTTGGGCGCTGGCTGGAAGAAGAGCAGCCAAAGCTGCGCCAGCGCCAGTTAGTATTAGTTAATAGAGAAGACCAGTGAGTAGTATTTAGAGTACACGATAGGGAGTGTGCATGCATAGTGAGTGTGAGTAGACCAGGGCTATAGATATCGAGAGGGAGAGAGAGAACAGAAGAAGAGAAGGGAGAGAAGTGAGCTATGGTGGAACTTACCTGCTGAGCGCTGTCCTTGATGATTGGCTGCTGGTGCTGACGAGCGCCAGGCCTGGAATTCTTGTTGAATGAAAAAGACTTGTAATATAGTTGGGCACTTTCATTTTGAACTCGTGAATCTCTTTCCTGAATCTGGTTGGTGATAATTGAGTTGCGCTTCCTGGTTTCCACTCATCTTCCACTGAACTTTGTGTGGGACATAACAAATCTGTGAGATCTATGTCACATGCATGTTATTTGGTACACTCCAGCAAGTGACGAACGGATAGGTTCCTTGCAATTGTGGGTTTTGAGCCTTCGATTTTTAGGGTACCCAAATTTTATGGAGTGTTCTGAGAAAGGGGCCAGCGCTCTGCGAAGTATCTGATTCCAGGCCCATTCTCAAGGATCGCATTCCAATTATCTGATGACCTTGTCTGTTCCAAAGATTTTCCAAGGTTTTGAGTCTTGCCACCCTGACTTCTTGCAGTAGAAACGTGTCTTGGATCGTATTCTCATGGTCCCAGTTGAGGTTTTCACAGTCAGGACCCAATTGGGAATGCATGGGGGAGGACATAAATCTCGCTCTGTATCCGGTAGTGGACAATCTCTTCTCGAATCGAAAGGCCCTCCTGGTTGGTTCGTCTCAGTTATGACGAGCCACCAATCACCAGATTTCCCTGTGAAGTCTTCCGCGAGTTGGTCTTACCATGTTTGGGGGGTACTTTGAGTGTGCATTTCAGATTTTCAGCCAGGGAATGACATCGCTCCTTCAGTTACTGAATTGATATCCAAATGTTCCACTCTCAAGACCCAACTTTCCACCCATTACAGCTGTTATCGTTCTGTATTAGTCAAGCATCACGGAAGGCGTCGGAAGCCCTGTCCTATCCGTGACCCATTGATGACAGAACAGGGGGGTTATGTGAGAACTTGCTCCTTTTTGGACGGCTTGTGAATGGTCGGTTGGTTGGGATTATAAATTTTGGTTGTCTACATCTCCTCATCACCCTGTCTTTAATGTCCACTCTCCAGCCACAAGCCGAAAGGT